AATCTTAGTGGAAGAAAGTGATGTGTTTTTTTCTAAAAGCAATAGTGTTTGGGAGCATTTTGTTCTTTTGGCTAATAATGAGACCTAGCAGTTGTTTCATAGCTTTCTGTTCATGATATAAAAGTAATGTACTGCTGGTGTGATCTGCATGATTTATGACCAGTGCATCTGAATGTGTAGGTGTGGGGTGGTGGAGAAAGCTGGAAAGTGTTCGGTGTGAGGAAATGAGAAAAGGCAAGTGCAATGCTGTTACTAGACCACTAAGAAGCCAGTAGAACCAAATAGTAGTAGTTTTCAAATGTTAAACATTTTTGTTTTTACAGTTTGAAGTATTTGACACTCCAGAATGAGGAGAATTTGTACTTACCGTTTTGGGTTTATGTTGTTCTTTCAAAAGTGAATCTACTGCTGCAAAATTGTCTGATTTGGAAAGCAAAGCATTTCACCAGTAGTCAGGAAACATGTTGCTCCTTTTCTTTACCTTGAACTTAAAATGTTATATGATTTCATTCTGCTCCAGCTCATTTCAGATAGGCCCACCATCATCTGCTTTGGAGGTTATTGTGCAAAACTATGAGGCATTAGTCTGAAGAGGCTGGGGTTTTGAAATACATTAAATAACTGAACTGGCTCTCTGAAGCTAGCCAACATGTAAAGTGTACACTAACGGATTAACAGGATTAAATCATCTTGAAGAGTAATTTTGACATTTCCATTTGTTTTCAGTTTGGGAGAGTAGCAGGTTTATTCTGCCAGTAGCAGAAAGGTGGGTTTCTGAAGAGTTGAAAGACTTCAAAATGGTAATGGTTTGCACCACCATAGTGATTTCAGACAGTCCTGGCATATGCTCATGTCCTTATGCAGGAGAATTCCTGTTGAAGTGGAAGATGACTTTGCTTGTGGGGACACTTGTCTAGATGCTTTGGTAGGAAGCACCACATAACTAATTATGACTGTCTTGGAATAAGCCTTTTTGTAAAAGCATTTATGCAGCACCGAGCACAATACCAGCAGCTGCTGTTCTTAGCCTAATTAATGAATACCCTTAATGGAATATAGGGATTTTTTTTTAGTTAAACACACAACTGTTTAAATTTTCTTATTGTATAAGAAATGTCAAAGGACACTGACATACTTTTTTTACAGAAAATATTCTTTTAAGACATCCATTAAAAAAGGAAAATCGCTTTTAGTTTTTGTTTCAGAATCCATTGTCTGTGAAAGAAACTCATGTTTAGTTTAATACTCATATTAAATGCAAAGTGAAGGAAGGCATAATTCTACATGCCTTTTACATTTAAGTCTTTATATAGGTATAAGCCTATCTTACCCCAGTCTGTCCCTGTAAATAAAGTTCATCGGATTATGCACTACTGCTTTCCATATTTAGTTTGATTGCCAAAGTGAGTGGAAACATTTCAGCTGACATGGTGGACTATAGATCAAAGTTTTAAATCTATCACTTTTTTTTTTTTTTTTTTTAGACTGACATCAGTTTGTGATGTCATAGAATAGCTCTGATCACAAAGAGTAAATTTAGTCCTCTTCAGAATTTCTATAGGCTGAAACAGCTACAGCTATCTTTAACCAAACTGTTCATTTTTTTAAAAACACACTGTAATAGGCCTTTGAGCCATGGATCTTTCCATGACTGAAGATATTAAATTTCCATGGTGTGGTATCTATAGGATACACAGGAATTTGTGTCTTGCATAGTACATTACTTTTATGTACTCTGAAATGGATGCACCCTGCTCCTGCCAGGGATCAGGCTGTCAAGGACCTTGAAGGCGGTCTTGCAAACGGAGTGTGCCTGCACGCTACTTGCTTTTTGTGGGGATGTATGGTCTTGAGTTTTTCATAATCTAAGATTGACTAATTCAATTGTATTGCAAAACGTGGAGGGTGATGGACAGCTGTGTCCTTTCATGTCATGGATTGTCCAGTTTCAGAAGCAATTTAACGGTCTTTCACTTCCGAACTGTGCCACATACTCATTTTGCTGTCAACCACATTCTTTTGCAAGAGATTACTACCCTTTCCTCCCCAAGTGCTGATTTAAACCAAATGGTTACACAGATCTCATTTAGACCACACAACCCATCGAATCAGCTAACTGATGAAGTAGAAAACTAAAAAGTGAGACAGGAACTTTCAGTTTGTTTACAAGGTTTCCTAATGTGAGACTGCACTCCTAAAACCACAAGCTTTTTTGGAAAATCCATTAAACTTGTGCTTTTAAGTCGCGGAGCTGTTGGAAGTACCAGCATGGTGCATGTTTCTGTTCCCCTAGTATAGTGGAAACCGTCCATGAAGTGTTATATAAACACAGTGGGGACAAGAACATCAGCAGATCTTAGTTGCCTGATTTTTCAGCTGGGGTTAGTATTCAGCAGCTTCAGCTGCACTGGTTGCTGGAAGGCTTTCATCTGGCTCTTGGATGCGAACATCTCCTGGGTGCTGATGACTTGTGAAAATCCGGTGTGCTCCTTAAAATACAGCAAAAACAGTTACAGGGAGCTCAGACAAAAGTCTTAGAATCAGAGATCCAAAAGGACTGCGTTAATTAATTCCTTATTCACGTTCTACGTTGTGTCTCAGAGAACAGATTTGTGTGTTTTGCTTTCTGAAAAGCGTGTCCCCTTTTGCCCTTTACCAAAATACAATTAGTCATCCCTTCTGAGTAATGTAGCCCAACATGACTTCAGCGAATTGCGCTATCATAACATGATGCCTCTTTGTGGGGTGACATCACAAATGGTGACTGGGATGCACCTCTGTTTCATTCATTGCATTCAGGAAGGGCAACTGTGCAAAGGACCCTTGAATATTTTTGTATTCCTTGACAGCACTCATGTTGGATTTGTTTACACTACAATATAAAACAAAAAATATTCAGTGTACGCTATTATCTGAATGTCATTCAGCTTTGTTCATAGATATCAAATAAGATGCTAGATCAAGGAGGACATATTCTCCAGCTCATTAAATTTGTCACTGATAGAAGTGACTGCTGTAACAGCTACCACCATTTGAGACTATGTGCCAGAATGTAGTGATGACTTTTATAGATAAAAAAGGTAGGATTGGGTAAATCAAATTCTGGTATAAATAGAAGTAACTTGTTTTATTTCAAAGATCACAGCGGTTTAAACTCACAACAGGGTAGTTTTTGACCCAGGTATTTTACCTTCTGCAACTAACTCAATGATAGAGTACAGAAGACCATGCAGGAATTGCAATGTTTTGCTGCTGACTGACCAGATATATTTTGGAGAGCAAGTGTACATGGAATTTATGAGGCAACACTTTGTAAAGTAACTTGTCTGATCGCAGCTCCCTTTAAGATTGTTCTGTCCATGGTCTATCAGCTTACTGTCTTTGTCAGATTTTTATATTCCATTTGTCAGCTTCCACCTCAGCCTTGTTCACTTAAGTGAAGCCATGTCTTAAAACATCATGTAACAGATGCTGTCAAAAGTCTTGTCAAAAATGCTAATTTTACCTTCCTTGGTTTTGCCTAGGTCTAGTGAAAGGTTAGAAAAGAAGACCTCTTTTGTGACCCTTTAAACCTCTCTACATTCAATTAACCTGATCCCACAAACTGTTTGCAGCAATATAATTGAAGTGATTCTCCTGCAGAGCACAGAACTTTTACCCTCCCATTTCCCAGCGCAACTTTAAGTATGTTGTAACTTGTCAGCTGCTTACCCTTGCCAGCCCATGAAATTTTGTTTTCTTGATTGTGGCTGTGCTGACCAGAACAAAATTGGTGCATCTCTGTCTATCAGCCTCTTCCACTTTTCTTTCGTTTTGATTTAGGTTTTCAACACAATTTTCTGTGCCTTCTCTAAACAGCTGCAAGCAGGCACCCACTCCATCTCTACTGAGGGACTAACGGGTGAACCTAAAAAAAGCGAATAGATAAATAAAAAGTATGACTGTATAACTAAATCCTGTACATCAGTGGTATTTCTGACTTACCTCACAGTTACAATCAGCAGTCCATGTGTATATTTCTGAAAGGTATCTCTAGTTTCTCTGTGCTCTCATGCATCTTCTTTTCTAAACTAGTCTCTCTAACAGATTCCTGGCTCATGCCTGACAAGGCAAATCTTCTGGAGCCAACTAGATATTTCCTAGCCAATAATAATTTCATTGTTCTTTTAAAGCACCTTGTCTCTTCCTCATTTCATGTTTATTCTCTCCTAACCACCTCCTTTTGCTTTCAATCTGCATATTTAGGCAGAATAGTATAAAATAGATGAATTCACATATTAATAAGAAGTAACAAAGATAATACACACCACACCTTATTTGCACATCCCATATTCCCTAATTAATTAGAATCTAACTTGCAATCTTATGGGTTGTTTGCTTCTTAAACCTTGTCCCTCTTGTCCCAAGACCTGCTGTAGGCACACTCACCATCAGCAGTTATTCTTCAGAATTCCACCAGGCCTCTAACCCATAGTCTGCTGAGGACCATCTGCTCTTTTCATGTGCCTTTCTACTGATACCAAAATAATTTCCATCAGACTGCCCTGTGCTTTGCGCGAATAAAAACCTTTCGGGCTGCTGCTTCTAAAGTAGATTTACCTTCAATCACCATTTATTAAATCTCTGTCCATTAAAAACCATAGCTTGCAGAAGCTGTATGCATTAAGCCTGATTATAGAGTCAGTAGAGAAGAGGGAGGGGGACAGCATTTTGTATCAGTGTATTGCTTCGTTTTTCTACTTGTCTAGCTGGCTGGTAACTCTTGTGACAGTGCATATCAGAACAGGAGTCTTATTCTTTGGCTTTGATTTTGGTTTATGCATCCATCTCTCTTTTTAAGCTGTAACTTAATGATTGTCAGCTTCAGGAAAAAACTGCTCGGGCTACATGACTAAAATCAGAGTTTTCTTCGGTGCTGGTATACTAGGTCCCTCATGGAGGGTAAGGGCCAGGGGATTAAGAAAGGAAGAGGAGGAAAGTTCACAGGTTCCTTACGGAGGATGAGTGGCTCCTTCAAACGCACTTCATTTAAGGGCTCAGCATCTGGATCACAAAAGGTAAGTCTGCAGTTACCCAAATAGTACAATCCGAGGGAAACAGCTGGAGCCACTGCCCCCCCCCCCCCC